TTTTATCATCCCATTCCATCCCAACTTCGGGATTTACATATCCCGTCTCCATTTTAGCTTGTATATTAGTTTTAGTAGTTAGTTTGAAGTATTTTCGGAGGTTTTGACTCCAGATCTGTTCTGTTCCGCTTTTACGGAGGTTGTAAGTTTTCTTTATTTAATAAAATGCTATTTTAATTTATGTTTGCATAGTATGAGTTAGGGTCCGGATCTCTGGGTCCGGACTAGTTTGGTTGTTTATTTTTTTGATGTTAAATTAATGTTGGAATGGTTAATCTATTGTTCTTGCCTTATTTAGTTAATTATTCTCGAAAGATTTAATTAGCTATTTATTGAGAAGATATTGTATGCTAAAAGGCTATGATATTCAAGTGCAACAGATTAAGTACAAATCTAGAAATGGATGAGTAGTAATAGAAATATTATTATTCCAATTGTTAATTTAATATGATAAAATAGATCCAAATGATGTCGAGACCCTAGGTCCAGATCTATACTTATACTATGTAAACTTAATTTATTATTTTTACTCTGCTCCTTCTATAATCGTTCCGAGAAAACTTTCACAAACCAATCCTAATCTTCGCCTAGTTAGAGTAATTAAACTAATTCCCTTCGTCCACTCCTCGAGAGACACGATACTCGGAGAGAAAACTAACCCTTTACTGGGAAGGTTTACTACCCGAAAAACTACAAACTATCAAATGGAGCCGTTGCCGGGGAGTGGCACGACATTAGTTTAATTTCTTTTAATTAGCTTGGGTGAAGATTGGTTAGAACGATCTTCTCACTTCCTTTCACCAACCACCCGTAATAATTATTATGGATAACCCTAGTGGTTATTACGGTCCGCCTTCTTCCTACCAATCACCCAATCGCCCTCCGTTTCAAACCCATCCACCTTATCACCCACATCAGTACCCATATGATAATACTTACCAAGTCAACAATAGATCTGCCTACTATCCCTACCATGAGGAAACACCATACGAAACCCCGTCTAAGAGCTTTGGATATTTTCCATACCAAAATTCTGATGGGGATAATTATTATGAACCTCATGGAGATGAAGATGACTATGACCAATCTAGGCCTATGTATGACAATCAACCTGATCCACTCGTCGAGGAAATAATAAGATTAGAACAGAAAATCTTCTATTTCGACGAACTTTTATTCGCTGAAGGCTCTTGGTACGAACCACCTTACTCCCGTGACTACACTTTGTTTGCTGAAGAACAAATCGAAGCAAACAAGGTGGCAATTCGAGAAAGAGCAAAACTTCTTGAATCGGTCCGAAAGGAAAAGGAGTTCGAAAGAAGATTATGCGAAGGATTAGATATGATGCAGAAAATGCTGGATGACTTCCAAAGAGAGAGACTAGAAGCTGAGGCTAAAGCTGATAAATTAGTCAATGATCTCTGTAAGGCTATTGAGCTTAAACGCTCCCTCCAATCTCAAGATCAAATGAGGGAGATTAATGCTCAAAAAGAGGCTCTAGAACCTAAGACCAACCCTAAACCATCCAACCATCAGGTGCCAGTTCTAGAAGATTCACCAAGTTCTACACCATCACAGAAACCCGAGAGCATAACAACTCTTGCTAGGGCTACTGTGGTGATGTTACCTGAATACCCTTCTAGCCAAGTCCTAACCAGCATAGTCGTACATGAGGTGGAACCAACTGAGGGACCTGACTCAGAACCACCTATGCTT